AAAAAAAAAAAAGAAATAATATATAATAAGCTTTCAATATTAAAATATGGTTACTGAAAAGGAAAAAATACATGAAACTGACACAGAATATTAGATTTTAATAAACTTTTATACTTCAAAATCAGTGCAATATATACTGAAAAACCAATTTTAGTATTCAAGAAATGAATACTACAATTTCTTTTGTCTTCCAAATTAGTTTGGTTTGGTATATCATGTGAGTTTTCAAAGAACTTTATGAAACAGCCATCTTACCAAAAACTTAGCTATCTTTAAAAAAACCCCACTGTTTCTGCATTCAAATTAATGTCATTTGGATCACTCATATCAGTGCAACACAGATCTTTGATGCCTGAGAGTTATAAAAAGGAAAAACGAGTGGCTGCACTTTACCCCAATTCTAGCACACGCTCCTGCATCCGGTAATCTCTGGAACAGCAATTATCTGATCTTCTGTTTCAGTGAGAATACACCAAAGTCATCTGATGTGGGTTTTCTCTAAGTTTCTTCATCATTAGCTCCAAAATTCCCTAGCTACTTTCTGTCTTTCCTTCCTCCCTCCCTTTCATACTACCTTTTACTCTTCAAAAGTAACCTCCAGATCCATGGTCTTGATTCTGTACCACTTACATTATTTTTATGGATTATTCCCACCACTTCTTCCGTATTTATTTAGCAATACTTTCTTACATCTATAATTTTTATTTCTTCATCTCTATGCTCCTTCCTATCTGGCTATAAACATGCTCACCAATAAAAGCAAAATAACACTTTCCCTTCATTTGGTTATGTCTTCAAGTATTATCCAATGGCTCTTCTCCCAGATTTCTCTAAAGGCAAGAATATAACCTTGCTACTCAGAGCATGGTCTGAGGACCATGTAGCACCATCATCACTTGAGAACTTGCTACAAATGCAGAATCCCAGAACCGCTGAGTCAGAATGTGTATTTTTAACAAGTTCTCAAGGTGGTTCAATAAAGTCCGAGCAGCTCTGGCCTCTATGGAGTCTGCTTTCACACTCGTTTTCCTTACCTCGCCCCTTTGGAATCCAGCCTCTAGTTCCTATCACATCCCCCAAATGGAGATGCCATTAGAAGTGTAGTATGAAGAAAGAGAGCAAAATATCTACAGAAATGGATATCATATTGGTCTCTATACACTTTAATTAGATTTTTTAAATACTAGCAGTACGGTATAGAGAAATTTTCACAGATGTTGACTAATTGCCTCCTTCTATTATTTTCTAATTTTTTTCTTGAAATTTATCAAAACTTGATACCTACAAGTAATCTGCCGTGTACAATGACCACACTCCTAACCAAACCCTATCAGAATGACAGGAAATGGTATTTGTAGCAGAATCAGTATGATAATCAAACATTCTCAAACTCAAATAGCATGATCTTTCTGGACTAACAGCACCAAGAGAAGTTGAAAGAGAGCATATTTATTTTGTTGTGACACAACACAGCTTCCCCANGTAGGCTAAATGGGTTTTGAAACAAAATGATTAATAAGTAATGTATATTTCATCAAATATGCACTCAGTAACTCAAGATAAAAGAGTTATTACCTTCAAGTTAGGATATTTGTCAGGAGACTCTAAAAAGCAAAAGGGACATATAATCAGTTATATGTACATATGACAAAGCCAGTCACACATTCATGCAGAGGTAATCCTCACGCTTGACTTTGAAAATGATTAGTTCCAGATTTGGGTTTTTCGGTTTCATTTGGTTAGAAAGCAACTCAACAGAAATATACTGAAGAAAAAATAGGAATATAGGTTTAATAACACATGCAGTTAAGACTTCAAAAGTGAGCTTGTTTCAAATGACTGTAACTAAAATAGAAAAGTGTGCATATACAAATATGAACATGCTGATTGATAGGAGAGATGTGATCTTTAACCAGAGAAGCAAATCATGACCCTGAGAGGACAAATGTCAAAGATGACGGTAAAATGCAACAGCGTATCCTTAAGGAACACATGAGAATCATTTAAACCATTAAACTACTAGTATTTATCACATTCTCCAATTTGTCATGTAATTTAGAAAGTAGTCAGTTGTGATAACAGTTCAGGTGAATGTAGAATTCATTTCTCATCAGAGAAACTGTTCTGAAATGATCAGCTTGGATATATTCATATACTTGTACAATAATAGTTAATAACAATATTCATTTTTTTCTGTACCCACCACATGGGTTACTGGTATGCCTACATTTCTTATATCCTCTCGTTTAGCAATTTTTTAAGTTTCTTGGTCCACTCATGCAAGGAGGTATTATAAAACACATATAAGAAATAATATATGGGCCGGCCCGGTGGCGCACTGGAGAGTGCGCCGCTTGGGAGTGCAGCAGCGCTCCCGC